TATCCGGGGCAGGGTGTTGGGGCGAGGAGGGTCCAGCCCTCCGCGCTGCCTTTGCCGCCGCGGTCTCTGCCCCAGACCTGGCGGACGCCCCTGAACGGTGGCCCTGCCCCAGCCCATCCCTTCCACCCCGGGTCCCAGCGGCGCTTTCCAGCGCACCGGGCGCTTTGCCCCCACATCGCCGGGTCCAGCCGCCTCCGCCCCCAGCGAGAAGCTTTCGGAGGCCCTGCAGGTTTGGCCGTCGTCCTGTCGCTTCTGCCCCAGGACCTGGCGACAGCCCTTTCTCCATCGCCGCGCGAACCTCAGGTCGGGTCTTCTTCTTCTGGGGAGGTCCAGCCTGCAGAGCGGGTGGCACCCACGCTAATCCGGCCCGGGTTGGGAGGTCAGATCCTGGGGGCACCTTCTGCAAACTCCGTTTTGCCATGGCGGAAAAGTGGGGCGGAGAGGGAAAGGCGATTGAGAAATACGGCGGGGTGGCTCACGGGCAGGGTGGCATAACGAAAAGAATGCCAGGTTCTTGCTCCCCCCAACCCCCCAGGAGCATAAACAGTGAAGGAAGCAGAGCACAGGAAAAGTCAAATGCTGGGGGGGGGGTGTGAAGTGAAGATGGAAAGGGTTCAAACCGACGGAGGGGCGGGCGTGGGTGTGTGCCTTTCTCTTGTGGCGGCTGTCACTGCTGCCATCTGCCGTAACCAGCGCAGATGCGCGGGCTGCGTGTTGTAGGGCGCTCTGTCCACTACTGGTCAGCTGCAAACGGGAAGACCAGTCAGCTTAATTGCAGATGTGCAAAGGGCTCGTCCTGCAAGCAGTGTCGTTCCCAGGAGGTGAACTGGGGTGCCTCCTTCCTTACTCTCTTCGCGCTTAAACCAAAAACGTATTAGAAGGTTTTCTGCACAAGTTCTCAAAATGGGGCAAAACGTTTCATTTTGCTCACCGCTGTCTGAATGTGCTGGTTTGCCCAGTGGACTAACCGGTCATGAATTGAAGAACAGTTTTCTGAATGAACCCAACTGCCTGGATTTGCAAAGTATACTGGACCATAACATAACAATGTGGTTGACTTTTTGCTGTGCAGAACTAGCCAGCTGCATGTTCTGGGAGCCCACCCTCATCTTGGAGAACTTGTCAGCAGAAAGTTGCTGTCTAAACTTTCCTGAGACATTAAGTGAATTTCTCCACAGCACGGTAGCTTTCAAAAAGCACAAGGGAGGAAACTTCTCGGTGGTTCCCCACTTGGGGTGATTGAAGTGAGATTGCCTGGGATGAACATGATGCCGCACGATTCTGAAATTTGAGGACAGCCTTTCCCAAGATCTGTTGGGGGAAGTACTCCTATAATTCTCAGCCATGATGCAGCTCCAGCCTATCTGAAATGGTTCCCCTTGGGAGTTGTATTTTTTCATTTATCCTGGGTGGCCAGATTTAAAAACCACAGTGGTCTTGAGATGTAAGGGGTTTATTTTATTTTCTGTGGGATTGCTATCTGCCTTTTCTCCCCAGTTCAAGATGGCTTGCGAGGGGATCTCCCTTCATATTCTCCCCATGACAGGAGTCCTTTGTGGTGGGTTGAGCTGGGAGGGAAGGACTGGCCTAAAGTCACGCTGGGGACTTCTGTGGCTGAGCAGAGACCAGAACATGGCTTTCCAAGTTGGGTCTGACACTTCCATCAACACACTACACTGGCTCTCTGTGTTTGCTGTGGACTCACCCAACTATGTTCTGAAACAAAATTAGCTGTTCCAACCATTTAGAACTGAATATGGTAGCTTTCAAAATACATTCTGAAAACTCCTGGGGAAGTTCAGAATGACATGACGGTGGATGATAGTTGAAAATAACTTGTCTACTGCTACCCGTTTTGCTCATATGGAGTGAATCCTCTGCCAGACTCTCAGTTCAGCAGGTCAGAGTGAACCTATCAGTGTGCAACAGTGCTTGGAGTGTTTCCTGGAATATCTTCTAGAACAGTGTTTCTCAACTTTGTCAACGTTAAGATGTGTGGACTTCAACTCCCAGAATTCCATGGCTGGCTAGGGAATTCTGGAAGTTGAAGTCGACGCATCTTAAAGTTGACTAGCTTGAGAACACTGTTCACAGGCTTACTGGTCCATAGGCTGTTGAATGGTGTGAGAAAGCCCACACTCTCACGGTGGGGAAGGGGGAAAATGGAGTTTGATTTAATGAATTCAATGCACTTCATATGGTTACAATTGATTTATAATTAGATGACAACTTTGGGAAGTGAAACTCAAGTTGTGGAGCACTGAAGGCTCTGATTGTGCATCCATGTACTAAAAATTACATTCCCCAACTTACCAGAATTTGGTAGCTGAATGCTTTTTGTCACATGCATCCATTTTTTTCTTATCCTTTTTGTTATTTTTGTTAGTGAAATTTAACAAAAATAAAACCTATACACCAGTGATGCTATTTTATTATATATATATGCGTGTGTGTGTATATGCACACATCTATATATATAGTGTATCAAAGGTCAGGCTCCGATAGGCCAGTCATAAAATGTTTCATTAATTAATTGTTCTTTCAGAAGAAACGTCACTGTACTTGGGAACGTTCAAAAGTCATGTGTCAAACGAGAAAGAAAATGACAGCCAATTCAAACAATGAATGTAATTTATATAATAAATTGCTGATGGGGCCTGACTTTTTGTGTGTGTGTGTGTGTATGTGTGTGTGTGTGAGATAAAAGTGTGTGAACTGACACTTAAGGAAAAAAGATACATATAGGATTAATATAAAGTAGTTCAGGCTTTTAACATAACATCTCAATTTATTTATATATCAAATTTGTTACCGCCCATCTTGTTGGATGACTCTGGGCGGTTTACAAAACAGTTAAAATCAAGTAAAATTACAAAATTACGTTAATAAATAGAAAATAAATAGATCCAAGAATAATTGGCAGTCAATCTAATAATCTAATATATTATTAATATATAATATTATATTATATAATTATATATATATATATAAAACTATATTATATTATATAATAATATAATAATCTAAGGTAGTCAGACAGCCCTTGAGGAGGATCTTGGGGAAAATGGATTATCTGGGCCCATTCCAGTTGGGTTTCAGGCCAAGATGTAGTATGAGACAGCCTTGGTCACACTTGTCAATGACCTTTGGTGGAGCCAGTTTGTTGGGCGAGGGCATCCTTGTGTTCCTTGATCTCTTAGCGGGTTTCGATACTATCAATCATGGTATCCTTCTGGACTACCTGGTTGGGAGTGGGGGGCACTGTGCTGTGGCGGTTCACCTCCGTCCTCAGCGGTCAGTCACCCTTCCTGTTTAACATCTGTCTGAAACCCCTGGGCGAGATCGTCCATCGGTTTGGGGTTCAGCATCATCAGTATGTGGACGGTACCCAATTGTACATCTCAACCCCAGGCTGTGTGGGTCACGTTGTCAGTGTGCTGACCCAGTGTCTGCAGTCTGCTCGGGTCTGGATGGGGAGGAACAGACTTCATCTCAATCCTGACAGGACTGAGTGGCTGTGGCTGTTTTGTGGCTGCATCCCCTCGGCTTGGGACGTTTTCACTGTTGGTCTTGCATGTGGTTGGGGTCCCCCTTCGAAACTAGTGCCCAGCTGTGGCCAGGAGGCTGATCTTGGGCACCAGTTGGGCCCTCTCCTTAATCGGGTGGCCCTTCAAGTAGTCACTCATGCCCTAGTCACCTCATGATTGGACTGTTGCAGCGTGTTTTACATGGGGCTGCCCTTGAAGACTGTCCAGAAGCTACAGCTGGCCCAAATTGCAGCAGCATAAGAAGTGCTCCTCGCTACGCCCATGTGTCATCACTGCTATGCAAGTTGCATCGGTTGCCAGTCAACCTTCGGATGTGAGTTGAGGTGCTGGTCATCACCTATGAAACCCTTCATGGCATGGGGCCTGGTTATTTGAGGGTCTGCCTGTCTGTCTCCAGCTGTTTCTACCCGTCTGGAGTCAACATGGAGAATATCCTCTGAGGTCTTCTAGAGAGGAAATAACTTTTCTAGTAGATTAGCTTAAGGTCTCCTTGAGTTGAACACAACTTTGGGTGACTTCATGGATACTTCCAGGTGTTTTTCTTGGAGATAGGACAGGAGCGATGCGCTGCCCTCTTTTTCCATTTCACAACCTAGCCCAGAGCTGAGATGGTTCTTGGAGGTCTCCCATCCAGACACCAACCAGAGCTTAGCTTCTAAGCCCTGTTAATGTCAGCGAGATGTTGCTATCTGCTGAGACTAGATTAGGCTTGGATATGACTAACCTAGTTATAATCCCACTTTACTCAAGGTTCGGTTTGGTCACATCACGGTCTGACTCAGCCTGATACCTGTAACAGTCACTTTTGTGAGGAGAATCAGTATGAATTAAAAACTCATTGTTGAAAACATTCATGGTTCAAATTCCCTTCAACTTTAATTCCCTTTAATTCCATTAAAATTATTTCACAGTTACAAGCATGAAGTACAAAGAAGAAGAAAAGTCTGTGTTTCTTTCTTTCTGCTTGTTTCATAAATCATAAACCTAGATTAAAGGTAACTCTAACAGGACTAGCAAAACATGATAACCAGTAGTAAGTAAGACAGTCCCTATTGTTTGAAATCCCAAATGTAAAAATAGCATTCTTGGTTCCAACAGATTGCAATTAAATATACCGATAAGACAGGACATTCAGTTGGCTGGGATGAAAATTAATTTCAGTTCATCACCCTCTTGATTTAATAGCAGGCTCATGTGTGTGTTTCTCTGTTTTGGTTGTAAGCTTCTCATTGTGTAAAAGTGCAGTGGTGTTCTGAAACGAGGATCTTGCACGCGGCTTGTACGTCTGCTTGGAGGAGGAATGTTATGTGAGTTAATCAAGTGTGAAAGCGTAGAGGCCTTGTGTGTTCTAGGAAATATATCATTGAATCACTTTCAATGATTATAGTGGACTTTAAAATTCTTGATTCCAGCCTGGCTTCCTTCATCTCCTGTCCATACAATCCTCAGTTAACCTCTCCTGATATCTAGGTGGATTGTAAGGTACAGACCTAAGCCTGCAATTTTCAGCGTGATACCAAGGGGCAATACAGGTTGAATAATCTTATCAATCATGTTTGATTGATTAGGAGCCTGATAGCACCTTTTCCAACCAACAAATTTTATTAAAAGGGATAAGCTTTCATGATTTATTGCAATTTTAAGGCCTTAGCAAGGGGCAGTGCCTAGCTATTATGGGCTGATTGGGAAAAGCAAAGGTAGTTAATGAAGACCCCATTTTCCCCTGCAGGCATTAGAGCCACGTGTTTGCATTGTGACTTCATTACGCAGTACTTTGGTTCTCTATTTGATTATTTTAACTGTATTTCACTTTGTTTATGGGAATTTTACATATATATAAAATACACACACACACACACACTTGTGTACTCGGTTTGATAGCTGCCTAGAGTTATGTATTCAAGATGCACAGCACTATACATTTTTTAATTAAATAAATACTGGGATGGGAGACCACTTGGAACGGCCAGTGTTACAGGTTAAACTGCTAGACTGGAAAGTTTAAAAAAAATTCTGGAAGATAGTGGCACCTACTTTTCCACTGTTCCCAGGAAAACTACATGCAACAAACAGGACATAAGAACATCTGTAACTTTAAATTTTAATTAAATTAAATCCAATCTAGTCACCCCCCCCCCCCCCCCCCCCC